AGAGAGAGAGAGAGAGAGAGAGAGAGAGAGAGAGAGAGAGAGAGAGAGAGAGGCTTGTTTTATTGTTTTAATTTTTTTTGTAATAAAAAAATTAAAAAAACATAATAGAAAAATGATAAAATAATTAAAAAAGGAAAAAAATATATTAATATCTGTCTTTGAAAAATGTTTTGAAAATTTTAGACCAAACTTACAACAAAATAAAAATTTTAAATCATTGGTACAACTTCAAAAACATTTTTGATTAAAAATCTAATTTTTAACATAAGACATGACAAAACTTGAATTGTAATTTTGTTAATCATTTTCCAACACCGTAAAAAAACGAACGGTAAAGATTCGACCTCTACGTCCCCTACACGACAGCTGTTCCTGTGTTTCTCCTTTTACGTACCGTCGATGGCGGATTAGCCGAAGGTTTATCACTTTATATAACCATCCGACGTCGTTTCCTTCTGCTTATTTATATGCCTTTTTCTATTATTTGGGTCTTCTGTAAGAACTTGTCTAGTCAAATTTCAGTTCTTGTCGCGAGTTGTCTCGTACGGAACGGGCCTTTCCTCTGTCTTCAAATCCCTAGGTTCGTACCATCCATCATTTTCCCTGCGTCTTCCTGTTTTTCATAGATTTTCTTTTTGATGTTCTTCAGTTCATTTATCTGAATCACTTTAAAGGTTTTTTTCTTCTTCTTTTGATTGAGATCGATGTTCACGTCGTTTAGTTTTAATTTCTTGTAAGGGACACCAATTTATGAAAATTGAACTCAAAGACTTCGATTTTTAACTTTTATCTCGACGTTGTTGCGGTTAATCGCCGAATTGTGCTGCTTAGATGACGAGGGTTGACATTAGTCAATGGATTGTAGCTTGTTAGCAATTTCGGTCAATCGCGAAAGAAATGTAGCTTTATGTTTGTCCATTGAAGTCGCTAAAAATTGGGGGAAAAACCTATAAAAAGACAAAAAAAAAGGTTATCGTTTTGTTCTGTTCGTCAAATGAAATCATATATCGAGAATCAATCTTTTGATTTTTTGAATTTGAATTGTGCTACATAGATTTTAAATAGAAACATTTTACTCGTTTTTTGTCTGATTTATAGAGCCATTTGCACTTGAAATGCGAAAAGGACCTTAATGATAGGATTTTTTAGGATTATTCATAGATTACCTTAAATGATGTGACATTCCATAGGGTGGATGCCCTAGCTTGCTTATCATTTGTTAATTTTGTATGATTTAGAGGAACATATATATGCTGCATGTTTTTAACTAGTTTCTGTTTTGCCATGTACACTACAAATCAAAACCACAATACTCAGTATACGGTTGGCATCATAAGTTATTTATTAATCTCATTTCCATATTCCATTCGTTTTTACTGACAAATTTCTGTTCATAATCTTACAGGTTTGTGGTATCAGTTTTCGATTCCTGGTGCTTTGAAATATAAGTCCCAATCATTTACTAAAACTGATACACTGTAGATGCAATCAGCCTACATTTTATCCTGTGTAAGCTACTATCAGCTCACATTGCAAGGCTATTCAACTACTGCAGTAAGCTTGAACATTAGTGACTTTCATAAACGAAACCTGATGAAGTAAATGGAGTGATGAAGTTGTATATGATAGAATAACAACGTTACCATGTCGGAAGGACTTTAACATTAATGAGATGTGCACCATGTATGTTTAGGTATCTTTTGGTAAAAAAAAATATATTATATTTTGTTATTTAGGAAAAAAAACCTTTTATTTAGTCATTTAGGAAAGTTATGGAAGTGCCAAAAAAGAAGTTTCCCCTTGATGCAAAGGATTACAAGTTATATGAGGAAGTTGGTGAAGGAGTCAGTGCTTCAGTGTATAGGGCACTTTGTGTTCCATTGAATGAGATTGTCGCGATCAAGGTTCTTGATTTGGAAAAGTGTAATAATGATCTGGTATGCTTTTTTTTTATCAATATTTTACCATTTAGTTATACACATAGTAGGTTTAGGGTTATAGATATGCACACACTTTGAAAGTATGAAATTACAAAAGTGTCCTTGTTGATTTGAATTAGGATGGAATCCGTCGTGAAGTACAGACAATGAGCTTGATCAATCATCCAAATTTATTAAGGGCATATTGCTCTTTCACAACAGGCCATAGTCTGTGGGTTGTTATGCCATATATGGCTGGGGGATCGTGTCTTCACATAATGAAATCATCTTTTGCAGAAGGTTTTGAAGAGCCTGTTATTGCTACATTGTTGAGAGAGGTTCTTAAAGCTTTGATTTATCTTCATGCTCATGGCCATATTCATAGGGATGTGAAAGCAGGGAACATATTAGTTGATTATAATGGTTCCATTAAGTTAGCAGATTTTGGAGTTTCTGCATGCATGTTTGATGCTGGTGATCGACAACGTTCAAGAAATACATTTGTGGGAACTCCCTGTTGGTATGTTTTTGATATTTTTTTGTATTAAATGAAGTTGTATTATTGTTTTTTTTGAAGTATTTATTACGTATTTTCAACGCCTTATAGGATGGCACCTGAAGTCATGCAGCAATTGCATGGATACGACTTCAAGTAAGTCGCGATTCATTTGTTCATTTATTATCATACAATCTTTTTATAATATAATGAATTAAAAAACTATGTTTCATGTTAACAGAGCAGACATCTGGTCATTTGGAATCACAGCACTAGAATTAGCTCATGGGCATGCACCCTTTTCCAAGTATCCACCAATGAAAGTAATTAAATCAAATATCTCTTTAGAAATCATTATTTTCATTTAACAAATTACAAATTTTAACTTGATTTCGCCAAGTAGGTTTTGCTTATGACTCTGCAAAATGCACCACCGGGTCTCGATTATGAAAGGGACAAGAAATTTTCAAAGGTTGTGTCATCTTACAATGATTAAAGTTTAAAATTTTAAGTCCACTATTGTATTATGCTAAAACTAGTAATGTTTTGCAGTCTTTTAAAGAAATGGTGGCTGCTTGTTTAGTGAAAGACCCAAAGAAACGTCCCTCTTCTGAAAAGCTATTGAAGCACCCTTTCTTCAAGCATGCAAAAACAGCTGATTATTTGGAACGTACTATTCTTGATGGACTTTCTCCCTTAGGTGATCGTTTTAGGATGCTAAAGGTAATGTCAAACTTTGACTTTTATAATTCATTAGTCATGTTTCTATTTTCTACTTATTTATTTATTTTCTTGTTTTAGGCCAAAGAAGCCGATCTTATTGTACAGAACAAGGATTTATATGGAGATAAGGAACATTTATCACAGGTGAAATTGCTATGTTTGCAGAGTATCTAATCTTGTTTACAATTTATTGTTCTGATTTCTTACGTCATGCAGCAAGAGTATATACGAGGAATTAGCGCGTGGAACTTTAACTTGGAGGATTTAAAGAATCAGGCTGCACTTGTATGTGTTCAAATATAAGACAAGACAAGAAATATCAGATTTGATCATGAAATGCTTGTTTTTTTACGTTATTACCCTTTATGGCAGATCAATGACTTGGATGAAATTTCAAATGTAGAAGACCCGAAAACTACAGAGCAACAAAACGGAGTCAATGGTGTTACATTACCACCCGAAAAGTTGTCCCCTGAGATAGATAATAATAATAATAATAATCATTCAGATGCTAAAACAGGTGATGAGATTCCTATTTTGGAGAATTCATTAGCATCATTTCCAATAGAGCCTCTTCAAGCACTCGAGTAAGATCATATCTATTAAATTATCCAAATTTCACATCCTTTTTCGTTATATGATGTGAGATTCAAACACCTGTTGCATGAATTCAGGGGATGTTTTGATGTCTGTGAAGATAATGTTAGCCCAACCGGAAAAGATGAGAATCCATTAAGCCCTGTAAAGCTGCCATTAAAAACTAAGGACCAAGAAACCGAAACAAGAGAAAATGTTGTAGTAAAAAAGTCTTTACAGAGAATTACTATCACCGGGTCAAAAAAATTTATGAGTGGTTCATTACTACCTGACAATGTTCTTTCTCCTAATAAGTTAGTTGCCAATGGTGAAAGGTATTAATGTTAATTAATTTATACACTGGTAATCAGATCATTCATTTTATTTAATATTAATTCTAAACTATTTTATAAATAAATGAAGGGATCATCTCCAACCGAGATTCCGAGTTGAGCGAAATTACAGTGGTCCATTACAACATCTTCATAAGAACAATATGAGTAAGACATCTTTAAATGACTAAATTGCCCTTTGTTTGTCTTTCCCAATATTAACTTAGTTTGTTTGTGGCCTGGTGCAGTAGAAGATGTACCAGGAGCTGTGGTTCAACTCAAGGGACGTTTTAAAGTGACTGAAGCAGATTTTACCCCAAAGGTATATATATAATTATTTACTATTTACTGATCAACAATTGGATTGTATCTTTTTTATTCAATGACTTTGTAAACATTGAGTTTCAGGCGCCAGGTGGCATGCCTAGTCCTCCAACTTCAACTGTACCAGTTGCCTCTCTTCTTCCATCCTTACAAAGCATTTTGCAGCATAACACATCACAAAGGGTAAATCATGTTTGACTCTATCATCCCAAATTACAAATTTGCCCTCTAGCTAGATTGTGCTTACTTTACTTGTTTCTGTTTTCAGGAAGAAATACTTGGATTAATCAAGTCTATGGAGCAAGCTTCTGGTTCTTCAGGCAATCAGACAGAGCATGTGGAGTCAGGAAACAGGGATATTTCACAAGTAATGAAGCCCTAAACC